AACCCAGTGCAGCTGTACGGTGTAGAATGTTTCATTTACAGCTGAAGAAGTAGATAATTCATTCTCAGAAATGGTTTCCAGCTCGGAGAAGGAAAAATTGTCTGGAGGCCCCTATTCACTACACTAAATATACACATTCCTTATTTAGGAGATTCTGAAGCATTATGTTCTGCTAACCAGCTCGCTGGCTACGATCATCTGACACTGCTGACTAGCTATTGATTTAGTTTTTGGGCCACAGAAACATCAAACCTGCTCCTGATCCCGGTAAAATGAGACAGCACAGGAATTCTCCCGAGTCGTTCGGAACCAATAATTTTCACAGAAAACTAAAAGCAAGGCCTCCGATGTGGAGACAGTGGGACATATGGTGGTTTATTTATGAGAAAAAAAAGAAAAAATAATTGACATCAAACTACATCAACAGCAAATGGGCTGATTTATTTCATGCTGCTTTTATACAACTTTATGAAACTAAACATACGTCAAAGCCAAAGTTTTAAAGATAATATTTTTTAGATAAGGCCATGTTTTTAGTAATTTTTAAACACATTCATAACAAATAATAGTGCATTCATAAAGCATTATAAATATGGCTATACCTATTTATCAAAAGGCATAACATATTATAGCCATGTTTATTGTGCATTATACCTGCCTTATGAAGCTCTCATCAATAATGCACTATAAATACATATATATTTGTATGTATCTTTATAAATATTTGTAGCCATGTCTATAATGCTTCATAAATCCATTATGAATGTGTTTTTTAAAAATTACTAAAAACATGCCCTTAAGTAAAGTGTTACTGTTCTATTTTCAATTAATAATCAGCAGTTAATTAAAACAATAGCTGAGATTATTACTCGTTTTGGGTTGCCAATAATCGTGTTACTTTATTGGTGACAAATGTAGGAGTTGTGAAAGGGATGAAGAGCGGGTAGCGGATGTAGTGAATCCCCACGCCTGCTTTGCGTTTAGTGTGATCAGAATCACGCCGCTGAGCCGCTCCGTCAATGCCAAGTCGTTAAGGACTGGAACGAACCTAGAGGGACCGCAATCACAGGCAACTTGGGCACGAAAAACATCGCGGGCTGTCGCAACATGTCCGTCAGATCTGAAGAACGTCGACAGCTGCGTTTGCTTCCAGTGCGAAAATGAGAAGCATAAATCAAGCGCTCATGTGTTTTGGATTTGACTAATCCATTGTTTTTTGTAACTCAACTGAACGGGAGGGGGGGGGGTTTGGCACGGTGGCTCAGTGGGTAGTGCCGCTGACTCACACTTCCAAGGTTGGGGGTTTGAATGCCAATTTTGTTTTCTCTGTGTGTGGAGTTTGCATGTCCCCCTCGTGCTACTCAGGTATACCTTCTAGACTGAAAAGTATCTCCAAATTGTCCATAGAATATTGATTGTGTGTGTGTGTGTGTGTGTGCGAGCGGGTATACCTATCCTTATGGGGACACAATGTCCCCATAACGTGATAAATATCCGTTTTTGTAGGAAACCTTCCATGATAAGACCCTGAAGACCCTGGGTATTATTAAGTTGCAGAACACAGCTTGATGGCATCTCCAGTCTGTACAGGAAATTGAGAAGGATGGCTGCCAGGGTAATGAAGGCAGATAAGGAAATTTTTGTTAGAGGAATCTGTGGTATAGCAACTCACGTCCAGCTTACAGAGGAATCAAAGCATTACGCATCTGGATCTGTTCCTCAGAGAGTCACAATCAGGGCAGGTGATAGAACGGTTCATACGGATGACACTGCAGTTGTGATTTGCTGGGGAAACTACTTTGAGCAGCTGTTTAAAGCTGATCTTCCAACTAGGAAGTTGGACATCTCTGGGGTTGATCCTGCAATTAGTTGTGAACCCCCTCTCTCACTGAGTTTGCATAGGTGGTGACCCAGCTGAGGTAGGGAAGGCCACAGTGATCTGTGGTATCTAGGGTGAACTTCTCCATGCTGGTGGTAAGGCTGTCCGCCTGGCATTGCAAGCAATCTTTGCTTTCATTTGGTAGACAGGCATCAACCAAACCAGCTGGAAAAAGGGACTTGTTGTTACTATCTAGAAAGGGAAGGGTGATCACCTGGACTGCGGCAACTACAGGGGATAACACTGCTCTCAGTGTCGGACAAGGTCCTCGCTAGGATCATCCACAACATGAGCTGTGATCACTTGCTCATCTACCAGCAACCAGAGCAGTCTGGTCCAGTGACTTTCGGGCATCTGTTGGTGAGGAAAGAATTACCAATCTTGACTTTGTCAATGATGCTGTGATCTTCACAGGGTCTTTGGAGCCTCTGATCAGGGATCTCCAGAGACTGAGTGAGGTGTCTTGATGCCTGGGTTTGCAAGGTTCCTGGATCAAAACCAAGATACAGGCCTTTATTGACTTCTTGGGCACAGCTCTCAGCGGTGTGTCTTTCTGTGGGGAGAGTGTCGGCCTTGTTGGGAGGTTCACTTACCTCGGCAGCAGCATTCATGTCTCTGATGATTCTTCCTATGAAGTCAGTAGACGGATTGAGAGGGTCTGGGGGGTTATGAGGTCACTGGAAATAGGTGTGTGGTGGTCCTGATACCTTTGTAAGAGGATGAAGGTCCAAGTCTTTAGAGTCCTGGTGCTCCCTGTCTTGCTGCAAGACATGGACGCTACCCAGTGAGCTGAGACAAAGACTCAACTCCTTTGGTGCTGTGTCTCATCAGAGAATCCTTGGGTCTAGTTTGACTTTGTCTCATATGAGCAGTTGCTCAGGGAGTCCAGAATGAGGCACATTACCTGCATTGTAAGGGTGTATCAGTTACGACACTATGGCCATGTGGATGATCCATCTTACCGGATTCCCACGTAACAGCTGGATGCAGCAGATAAATGGGCACTGTCTAGGGATGAGACTGGACTGCGTGTCAGACTAGGGGGGTATCAACCAGGATCCTGAGTTGTTTCCTTTTGTGATGAGTGTGGTGAACAGTAACTGACCTGACCTGACATATCAAGACAGGCTTGAGTACAACCAATGATGTAGTACATTCTGTACTTTTGTGTGGTTTCTACCTCGTGTGGAAACTAGGTTCAGGCTGCGTAGTTCAGTAGTCTTAGTGCCATATATCGGGTTTGTCAGCATCTTCCTGTGGCTCTCGGATTAGGTCCAGGAACATCATGAAGGAGCATCCACATAAAGAAAACCAGATGTCAGACAATGGGACAAAGGTACACCATCCTTTTCAGCATCTACAGGTCTTCTATCAGGCATGCGTGTGTCAACTACACATTTTATACATATGATTTCACTCACATCTTTGTGTTTTTCAACCTATGATGAAGAAGAATAAGTGGGAAAGGACTCCCCCCCCCCCCACCCCGGGAAGAGGACATCAGATCAACCGGCTGTCCCCAAAACAGCCCAGTTTATCCTTCACTGTTGTTAGTTATGGAAAGATTGCTGTCAAAAGATTAATAAGGCCAGTAGAAACTGGATGCCATTTTAGCAAGCCAGCCTTTTGTACTCTCTTGCTTAATTGTTTTTATTAAAGTGAGTCCTTCAGCAATCAAGAATCCATCGCCTCTCATTGCACTGCTCTCATTACCGAGCCTTCAGAATAATGCACCTCTTCCACCCATAATGATTGCACTTGTAAATGAGGAGCAATTTTCCAAAACTCAAGTAATCCACAAGATACATTTTTGACAAAATTTCTGTGGACTATTTCTTTTCAAATCACTAAACACTTCAACTTTCTGATCAAATTCCAGTATTTCTCCTACAAAACAGGGTTGTTTATCCTTTGATTTTTAAATCTCATTTAATTAGTTTTCTGTTTTTGTTTTTGTTACACTCTGTACTTCTTGATAAGCGCTTCATTGCTGAGATCTTCACTAGGGGGCAGTAAAGAGCCATCTGATCATCTAATCTCTGTGGCTAGAAGCAGTAGATTGTTTTTCAAATGTTGGTTTTTGAACTGATGGATAAAGAATACTTAATTTTATTTCTTTATGTAGTATATTGATAATTTGCTGCACAAACATGGCCAACGTTCAGAGCTGTTTAATAGTTAATAGCTATTTAACCCAGCTATGCAGCTACCTTTGTAGTCAAACACACTACATAGTAAAAGATCCCTTTTCCATATCAGCTTGTCCTGTGCATTGTCATGGGGGTCCGGAGCCTATCCTGGAAGCTATGGGCTTAAAGCAGGAAATAACCCAGGATGGACTGGCAACCCACTGTGGGGGGAAACTGGAGAACCATGAAGAAGCCCCACGAGGACATGTGGAGAACATGCAAACACGTAGCGCAGGGGCGGAGATTCAAACCTTCTGCCTTTCAGATCTCCCACAGTTGATATTGGCTGAAGGCAGCAGTAAAGCAAGTATATAGTATCCAGTGTTAATTATTAAATGTAATAATGTTAAATCTCATGTTGAAACTGAATGGCTAAAATTATTTTTACTAAATATTCCTGTGATGTATAATGGAGTGACCTTCAGATTGGGCCAGCTTTTCTCTGCATGTTAAGCATCCTCCTAGAGATATAAGGGCTGTTTGCAGGGGGAGGGAATGCCATTTCTGAGCTTGTTTTCATCAAAAAGCCACAATAAAGAGATTCCCACCTGTACGGTACCATCCTGCGTTTGCCAGCGAGCAGTAAATGATGTTTTTGTAAGTTTAGCCAAGGTAAATTCGACAAAGCTGATGGTAAAGCTTTGTAAATTCGACAGGGTACTTCAGAGCTTCAGGGAAAGGCTTCCAAAGCTTAACTTCAGTTTTGAGGTCACTACCATTTGGGAAAGTGAGACATTTGTCACACATCATGGTGACTGTGAGACATTTGGAAACAAATGGACTCCACTTATGGTTGTGCAAAGGTCAGGCTTTGGAGGGCGTGATTGTCTGCTGGTGGAATTTTTGTATATGGTTTTGTGGATAAACCTGCATCTTAAATAAACTGCACCAGAGTTGTGTTCTCCACATTTTATTTCAAAAGAAAACCATACAGAAATAGAGAAAGGGAAAACAGGTCATGCACCGTATTCAAATTTAGACGAGTTTGATGTGTGATATAAAAATAGGAACAAAGTAGAAAACTTTCACTTAAAACTAAAGCTCTAATGAAACTATAACAAAGTTTAGGTACTTTCGTTTTACTAAATAGAAAAGAGGGGAGATGATTACTAAACATGCCATCAAACGAACATGCAAACAAACAACACAGAATGAAACCGCAGCAAACATTGCTCAGCTCGAGTCGCATCCCTCTGGAAAGCTGTCGAGGTTTTGCGATCTTGTCAGACTCGATGTGCTCTGCTTCACTGTGTCGGGATTGGAGCCGGGGTCGTGACCCAAGCAACGGCGCATTTAAGGTGACGGAGGTGTTTTTAGTGAACTGCAGGAGCCGCCTTGACTCCCAGCCGAGGCCTCCGGTCCCACCCACTGAAGGAGAGAAACCGACAGAGGCGATTACAACAGCAAAGTACCTGACCAGGGGACAGACGATTATATTAACATATGCTAACGAGGCCAAACGAAAGTGAAACGTATGGGGGGGGACAGACTCTGCTCGATGCTGGGATCTGGGATTCAGCTGAAAGGAAGCAGTTTCTGTCCTGGCTGCGGAACAGCGGCTAAATCTCCTCCTTCTCACAGTTTTTGGGAATATTCTTACAACACTGACATCCATTTTGAGTCCTTGGAGATGCTGCACCATGGTAGCTTGTTCAGAAGTGCTTGTAAGAGTGAACATGGGATTGACTTGTGAATAGGTTTGGTGGCTGTGGATTTGAAAACACTCAACAAGTCCAATGTTAGGTGGAATGACTGGACAGAGTTTGCGGTTTACTGGCCAATCAGTGTCCTTGTCGTCACCTATGGTCATGAGCTATGGGTAATGACCAAAAGAACAATGCTGTGCTTACAACCAGCCAGGATGAGGTTTCTCAGACTCAGTAATGTGTCTGAAGCTAAGCAAGTTTGGGCCTGGTTAGTACTTGGATGGGCAACCAACTCAGGAAGCTGGGCTACGGCTGGAAGAGGTGTTGGTGTGGCCAATATGTTAGCCCATCCTGTGGTCTGTATGAATCCCAATGCAGTGCTGTAAAAATTATTCTGTCCTTCTGATAAAACAAAAAACAAAGGTCCTGACTGTCTGAGGTCATAGAAGATCCCTGGGCATCCTATGAGAGAATAGGGATGGTAACCTGAATCCCTGGCTAAAATTGCCCACTGCAGCCATTTAAAATCTGGCCTCCTAATCACCCCCTATGTCTAATTGGTGAATTCTCTCCTGTTTGTTCACTGCCTTAGCTACTGTGTGGTGAGTGTACTGGTGAGGAATGGCTGCCGGCTCACCATCCAGGTGGTTGAAGTGGCTCCCCATTCATTCTGTAAAGTGCTTTGGGAGTCTTAAAAAGCACTGTATAACGTAACATCCATTCATCCTGAGGGACCTTGAAATACAGCTGTTGCTCTATCGTGATGAAAGAGAGCCAAGTGAGGTGGTTCGGACATTTTCTAAGGATGTCCCTCCAGGAAAAGCCCCCGAGACACGTTAGAGGGATTATATCTCCCAGCTGGCCTGGGAACATCTGGGAATTCCGCAGAACGAGCCAGACTCCACGAGCTCGGTGCAGGAGGCCGGACCTGCTTGGCACGCTGCTGCTACAGTGACCGGCCAGGAGAAGCAGCATGAAGATGGAGAAGCGAAAACGTCTGTCTGCCGGTGTGTTCTGGAGCAGGCAGCTTACGGCTTTATTAAATCTGTGTACCCGGGGAGATCCACCCATTTCTATCATTTTTTTTCTGCATGTGCCTGAATACCAAGCAGTTAAGGAAGCAAACATGTGCTTTTGAAAACATTTACCTGAGCAGGAGTCAAAGGGAGTCAGTGTCATTTTTAACATTTTTTCTAAGTGTGCAGCAGGTTTTTCCCACTTATCCAAGGCTGGTAAGTAAGCTGCCGCGGGATGAAAGGGCAGCTCACAGGCGGTGAGGCTTTGGAAAGTAGCCTGACAACATGAACACACTTCAAAAAGCAAATTTCACCTCTGTTGCAATGGCTCTCTCTCTAGCAAGCGGCTGGACCCACGATTTGAAAGACCCCCAAGCTGCAGTGAAATCCTTCTTTTATGGAAATGAACCCCAGTGACTGTACTCTCTCTATTTTGTTATTTCTGCCACCTCGACAAGGACAGTTCTGAGCTTGTGGCATTTCTGAAAAATGCTTCTCTACTGCCGTCTGAACTGAAAATGCAGTGCCGATCAGGGGCGGATTAACGCACAGGCTAGATATGGCTTAAGCCTAGGGGCCCCACGTGTGCCAGCCTGCAAGGGGGTCCCCATTGGCGCGGAGGGGGGTGGGGTTGGGGGCCCCACAGACTACTGTAGCCTAGGGGCCTCTGTACACCTTAATCCGCCCCTGGTGCCGATGTTTACAATCACTCATTTGCCTGGGGTCCCAGAGATTTGGGGGCCCCCTGTTGGTCACAAAGAGTCAGTACACTGGGGGGTGGTAGCCCCAAATCGACAGTTTCTTCCAAAATGCCCAGAAACACTGTCAATAGACTGTGCCAACTTCAAAAATACACATTATCTCTAAGCAGGGCTTGTTTTACACAGGAAGTGCTTTGAAATCCTTTTGACTCAGAAAAAGTGACCTAGGCCTTTACTTTAAGGGTTTGACTGTGGATCATCAGAACCGTAACAGCATGGAATGATTAACAAACCTCGATGTATGGCAGAGCTGAAGGATAGGAAAGAAGACATGGGCTTCAGGCTTACCTCCACCAGAGGGTGCCAGTGAGCGATGGGCTTGCGTGGGTACGCCATCATCTCGCACCAGTGGTCATAGCCAAGCCTCTCAGCTTCACTGCCTACCCGGCACACGCCTATGACCTCATTGTGACCCACACTGTAGAAAGGATGAAGAAGACGCTTTCCTCAGTGCCGCTGATGGACCAGTACTGTGATCATGAGCGCTTCTCTGTAAGGAGTTTGTCGTTTTATCCTTGATGTTATACAACAAAGCAGGTTCACCGACGCAGGATTCTCACCGGTCATAGTCCATGACGGCTATCAGGAGGCTGATCTGGTCGATGTTCTCGGGAGGGACATCAAAGACTATGGCTTCGTTGTAGATGGGGTTCAGCGTGTTTCTTTTTGTGGAGGTTTTTCTCTTCTTTAACCTCCGCCCTTCACACATTAGAGACACTTTCACATAAGGATCTGGAAAGAAACACAGTGGATAGACGTGTTGTGAAGATACAGGGCAACAGCAGCCTTTGAGGTGCAGAATATAAACAGGTCTCAGTCCCCGGACGACAGGCACCTCACAGCACACGCGCAGCTCTTTGCCTGCATGCTACACAGTAGGTCCTGCATATAATGCGTACACCATCCTTATATCCCAGTCATTAGGATTCACCAATACACCTCACCTGATGCCCCGGTGATGTCCATGGCCTTCAGGTTCCTGGCTTTGATGATGGTGATAGTCAGGCGTCCAGCCGTGGGAAGGTAGCAGAGCGAGAACATGAGGTCCCCCAGGTCCACGTTGTCCTACAGAGAAAATCACACAGCCCGTCACCTGTGCAACAAAAGTGTCGGATTCTCCGACGTAATGCCAAACCACCATCATGAGTTAAGGTGAACCTGAAGTCCATCCTGCTGCTCTACCAGCCGAAACACCCTATCCTAGTGTGTCCACCACGCGTCCTGCAGCCCGGCCCTGCATCGCCTCAGCCCCAGCTAGGGTTTGTCTGAAGTTCCCCCAGGTGGTTTTGCTGTGCTGCAGTTTGCCCGTTGCTGCTGCCCCTGTGAATGTGTCAGGGTAGATGTCAGACCCTCCACTTCGCCATGGACCAGCATCCCTGTGCACCCTTTTCTTTGGTCTTTCTGCCAATGACATTTCTAAGGTCCCTCCCAGTCCCCCGAAGATACAGAAGGTGCTATAGCTTTTGGTTTACCCTCTTAGGACAGAGGAAGAACATGCTCCTGTATTTGCCACCATGCGTAAAGCAGAGAGGTCTATATGCCATTATAAAAAGGATTTCACATAGACTGCCTTCACCCGGGCTTCTGTCCTCATGTAAACAGGCTCAGGGTCCTGACGTCCAATCGGTACCCGCAGAAATAAACCACCATGGACTATAGAAATGTGACAGTGATGTCACACCCTACCAAGCATAGCTCCAGAACTCAGCCTTCAGTCATCAGCGATCTCTCATGCAGTCGTGTTATTTTTGCGTTGTGTTCTGTGGGCTGTTTATGGCTCAGTATGTTAGATTGTTGTACTGGTGGCCAGCAGTTTGCTGGTTCAATTCTCTGCTTCGGCAGAGTGATTTACCTCTTGGGTCCCTGAGCAAAGCCCTTAAGCCCACAGTTACTTCAGGCACTGTATGACCCAGCATTCCTAATAAACTCATGTTGCTTAGGATTAAAATATGTCTATATGTAAATACACTTAAAAAAGTAAAAGAAATTGCTAATACTTCAAGCTATAAGCATCTCCATCTCTGATCACGAATGAAAGGAGAACCAAATGTTTTTTTCCCTGTTCAATATGCACACTGTGAGAACACAAGATCCATACTTGTTTTCTTTTTTCCTGTTATTCAAAGCAGTGTTTGTCAGAAGCATAACAAATAATCATTTCACTGGCACTAAAATCTGTCGTGTTTTGTTTAAAACATAAAATAAAGAGAGTGTTATCATTTGGGAGGACTCTTATTGTATCATTGAAAAATAACCTCATAATAACATCCACTGCTGTCAGTCATCGATTTCGGGGCAGAATGTGTACATCCAGTAACCTCCTCATAAGGCAGCCCTGCAGAGCAGCTGCTTGGAACCCCTTTTGTCTCAAGGAACATGTTAATATCTGACAAGTTGTGCATTCAGAAAAGCCTTTCTGCATGCCACCTCTGTACCACTGGCCCTGCTATTTTTACACTTGTGACTTCCTTGTTAGTTTTAACGAGACTCCTCTCTTTAATAAGGTGTTTTTACACCTTAGTAAAAACAGCAGAATTGCTGCTGACTGCATGTTTTTTATTCATCAAACCGTTCTCTGAAAACTCTGGACACTTTAGTTTATTTATTTATCTATCTATCTATCTATCTATCCATCCTTTATTTTACCTGGAATGTCCCATTGAGATACATTATCTCTTCTTCCAGGGATTCCAGGCCAAGGTGGCAGCAGTAAGTGTGTGAAAATTGCAGAAAAATGGCTCTTTTTGGGACGCCGCAACCATCACGTCTGGTAGCACTAATCACGCTGCATTCACAATCACTCAGGTCACGCGTCTTAGCCACGGGGCGACGGATTTCCCTGCCCCGATGGGGTTCACTGCCAGCACGAACGGTGACTTATGTGTCATATAATCAGTGATCAACGTCTAGAAAGTCTTGCAAAACACCACACTTCACCCTTTCATACAATTAGTGCTTTCACTTGATCAACCATGAAACACAATTAGACAAATAATAATAGGGCACGAACTTGGATGGCTTATGTTCTTTTTAATAGTGATCCACCTAGTTCAATCTGATTATTGTATATACCATAGTGTGTTATCGATGTACAAACCCACTGTACTTCATATGATGCATCAATCAACGCGAATTTCTGCTGCATTTCAGCTCATGCTACCTGCTGTATCATCTTCTAACCAAGCAGCAGCGCTGCTCTGCTCTGTGCTCAGGCGTGTGAATAATAATAGTATGGGCTCTGTGTCGTTCTTATGATGAAAGTCCTTCAAAGTCATGCCCACTGCAGCCAGCGGGCACAGCGCAGTGAAATATTCACTCCTCTGAGTGCATTTTGATGTTACAAACTTTAAATTTCGGGAGACCAGGAAAAAATGTCTTATGCAGAATTTTACACACAGACACTGTTGATAGTCTAATTCTTGTTTATTTTGTAGGTAAAATCCCTCTTTTCATTCGCAGCTCCATGATGCTGCTGTACAAATGCACATCTCCTTTCGAGGCTATTCTAGGAGAGGGAATATGATTAAGATGCAATTATAAAAGACAGAAGACAGAATAGAAGCAAGACTTAGCAGGATGAGATGAGCCTGGACATGCAAAGACATCAGATCCATAGTTGTGTGCCTCTTGCCAACTGTTGGATTTGGAACATGAGCTGGATCTCACTCCTAGAGTTTATAAATCAGCTTGTCACAGATTCCACTGGGGATTCCAGGTCTGTGCTCTTCAACTTCAAAGACTCACATGAAGGGAAACCTCACCTACATTTACTATATACTTATTCCAATTTCACATGCTACATTATTTAAGGACATAACAGTGCAAACATGCTATGTAAAAAATATATATTTACATATAATCCCATAACTCATGTTATATACTGTAAAACTGCTATGGTTACCTAACGCTAATGATACCTAACACCAGACTACATCCTAACACTCCATTCTCTGTGCATCTCGATCCTCATTAACTAACACCAAACTACATCCTAACACTCCATCCTCTGTGCAGCCCGATCCTCAGTACCTAACACCAGACTACATCCTAACACTCCATTCTCTGTGCATCTCGATCCTCATTAACTAACACCAAACTACATCCTAACACTCCATCCTCTGTGCAGCCCGATCCTCAGTACCTAACACCAGACTATATCCTTATAATCCGTCCCATAATGACATAAGCAGGCGCTGACAGTCAGTGCAGCCTTAACAGGAACCACACTTCTCAGTGTCACTCTGCTGTGACGACTTTGCCGACGCCTTCCATCACAGGTAGCCTCCATCTCTAAATATATCTGCGAGTCACCCCTGCACCAGCCCAGACACCCCAGACTGTTCGCCTGCTCCCCCAGCCTCTCTGTTTACCTGTCAGTCTATGAATGTATTTTATCTCAAGGCTGCTATCACAGAGCATTAGTCTCTGCTGGTTATGGACGTGTTATAAATAACTTAAATATGACAATTCTCCAAACCTGAGGCCATAGATAGATCTGAGAAACAAGCCAAGTTGTGAAGGAGTAACATGTCTTCCCATGGTGACGAGGGGAAAATCTGCTTCACTTCACCGGGGGCCGTGAGGGAAGGTGCAAATGTTTAGGGCCAGTGGCAGGTGACCTATTCTCCGGGATAGGCAGCTGCCTAGGGCGCCATCTCCTTAGGGGGCATTGACTTCAATAGCACCCCACATCCCCCCACCAGCAATATTCACCACCAGCACAACTCAAATACAAAACGTCAGCTGGGGAAACATGAAAAAAACACATACCTTTGTGACATACTGGATGTCCCTGCAGAGTTTAGTTTCTCTGGGGAAGTCTGGCAGTTCCAAGAAGTTCTCCACCACCACCTGACCGATGATGTCATGCCGGGAGAACCTGTCAAAGTCATAGACGCTGAAGTGCAGCTTGCGCGTGGGTAGCTCTGTGTAGGCCACGGGGAACAGGAAGACCTCATCGAAAACCGGATTCAGAGTCTTGCGGTGCACCTTAGTCTGGTGTTTAGTCTTACGGTCCGGGAGCAGGTAGATCTTCACGTAGGGGTCCGAGCTGCCTGAAAAGTCCTTGGCGGGCAGGTCCTGTGCCTTGTGGATTTTGACAATGAGCTGTTCCAGGTCGCAGTCATACTTGAGGATGAAGTGGAGGCGGCCACAGTCGCCCCCCGGTGGGCTGTCCTCATCACCCACCAAACGCTGCTTGTACAGTTCAGGCTTGATCCGGCCCAGACCGACCAGTGAGTCCTGTCTCTGAAACTGGGCCACACTGAAGTCTGGGTTGGACAGGTTCATTTGTCTGCGGATGGAGCTGTGGCTGAAGACAGAGCAAACAGCATAAACTCTCAAATGTGCCTGATACCCAGCTGAACACATTCCTTCTCATGGCTGCCTGACCCCCAGCTGAACACATTCCTTCTCAAGTCTGCCTGACACCCAGCTGAACACATTCCTTCTCAAGTCTGCCTGACACCCAGCTGAACACATTCCTTCACGAGTCTGCCTGACACCCAGCTGAACACATTCCTTCTCATGGCTGCCTGAA